CAGGGGGGGGTTGAGGAGGTCCCTGCTGTGGGGACACTTGGCTGGACACTCCCCCCCCCGCCCCTCCTGCATTGGGGGTCAGGGTTAAGGTCAGAGGTCAGGGACTGGTTGAGGTCAGAGGTCGGATCAGGATCGGGGAGTGCCCCCCCATCACAGGGGGGAGGAGTCAGGGAAGGGGGGATGTACCATGGAGATGGGGGTGCATGGGAAGTACCATAGTGTGTTGGGGGGGGAGAGAATGGGGAGGAGGGGCTGGGGCTGGGTTGTACCATAGCAGAGGAGGCTGGGCCATACCATAGGAATGTCTGGGGCTGGGAATGGGATGTACCATAGCTGGGGGGGAATGGAACATACCATAGTGAGTGTTGGGAGGAAACTGAGATGTACCATAGTGTGTGGGGGTGAATGGGATGCATCATGTCGGAGGGGGGTGTGTGTGAATGGGATGTTCCAGGATGGAACATACCATAGTAGTGGCTGGGGCTGCGAATGGGACATACCATAGCGAGCATTGGGGGGAAAACTGGGATGTACCATAGCAGGGGAGAGTGGCACATGCCATAGGGAGGGAGTCTGGGGCTGGGAATGGGACATACCATAGCAGTGGGGAGACTGGGACGTACCATAGCAAGGGGGGGGAGAAGAGGCTGTACCATGGCAGTGGGAGGAATGGGATGTACCATAGCAGGGTCGGGATGGGACGTACCATAGGAGGAGCTGGAAATGGGACAGATTTTGGGGGTGAGAATGGGATGTACCATAGCACGTGTGGGATGGAACATACCATAGGAGTGGCTGGGGCTGGGACTGGGCTGTACCATAGCAAGTGTCGAGGGGAGAATGGGATGTACCATAGAAGGGGAGGGAATGGGACATACCACAGTGGGGGAGGGGGAAATGGGACGTACCATAGTGAGGGCCGGTGGGTGATGGAGAGCAGCGAGATCCCAGCATCCTTTGCGGCTTGGAAGATGCGCCCCTCTACATCGATGCTCACGGCGCTGGTGCACTCGTCCAGCAGGGCGTACTGCGGCCTGGGGGGCAGACGTGAGGCTGGGGGGGGGCAGCCCCCCTGAGCCAACTCCCCCCAACCCCACAGCACCTCCCCCTGGCAGCAAGGGGAGCAGCTACCACCCCGCCCTGTCCTCCCACTCCCTCCCCCATCACCCCCCCGGGGGGGCAGGGACTCAGCCGCAGGGGGGCGAGGGGGAATCCACGTGGGGGGAGGGGCATCCCGGGGGGAGGGTCACTGACCTGTGATAGAACATCCGGGCCATCCCCATTCGCTGCTTCTCACCCCCCGACAGGACGTCCTTCCAATCGCTGACGGCCTCCCAGCCTGGCCCCGCCCCCGCGGGGGGAAGAAGATGCCTCATTGGTCATTCACTCGGGGGGGGGTTAGCTCTTCCCCCATCACCCCCTGCCCCCCACCCAATCCCCCCCACTCTGCCCCATCCCCCCTATGGCCCCCCAACCACATCTCCCCATTGCCCCCCTGCCCTGATCACCCCCACTCTGCCCCATCCCCCCATGGCCCCCCCACTCCATCCCCCCTATGGCCCCCCTGC